ATCGAGGTGAACCAAAAACAAAACTGTTAAGAATAGATGTGACTTGATAAATAAAACTTAATTTAGAACAATATACGGTTTTGCCACTCTACAGAGTGTCTTAAACTTATGGTAAAAAACATATTTTTGTTTAAACCTGTATATTATAAACGTACGTCTATTTTTTAGTATTTTTTTAAAATGTGAGCGATTGTCCATTAATTTATCTACAATATTCTTTAATATTCGTTATTGCGATTGAAATTCATCGAAAATTTGTGTGGATCGAATATTTTGCACGTGAAAGTATATGTAATCCGCACCTAAACGAAATAAAATAAAAAATATTCTAACGCTATATCAGAACCCATTCGCATGTCGTTTGCTCTATAGTAGTGCTCAATAAACTCGGTAAAGCTCTCAAGAATTTCCTATCTACGATTTCGAAACAAATGGCTGCGTGTTCAGGTTTACCGTATAGATAAACTATTATTGACTTAAAGAAGAAGCACGCTTAATATAAACCGAGACTGGATAAAAAATTAAGCCACTCGAGAGGTAAAACCTGCACGAACCAAATAACAGAACGAGAAAAATCAATTAAATCGTTTTTAAATAGGATTGCTACTCAAGCGAACGTCTAAAATTAATTAAATACTTAAACCTACAATTTTTTTCTTCATGGCACAGTTTTATTTGTTAAACGAAACATAAAACCTACAATTATAATAAGAATTATTAAAAGTATAGTAAGATTAGATTTTTTAACAGATTGGTCTAAATTTTTTTTACAGCCTAGGAGATAACTTTGGTACTGAGCGTTGACAATAATAAATCTTAAATTATAATAGAAAGCTTGAAGATAAATATATATTTGCTATGTATGTAATAAATCAACCATTTCTTTACTACAAATTCCCGTTCAAACATAAATTTCCCTCTGGGATAAAAATAAAATTAAAAAGTAACCTTTTTGACCATAAAAATGTTTTTATGTTAATAATAAATACTTGATGTTCCACTGACAAAATGTATAAAATAACAAAATTGTTAAATTTTTTATCTCATATACATAGACGTTTGCAAGAGAAAACATCAAGAGATTATACAGGGTGATTTAAAATTCATAAAATTTACTTTGTCATTTTATTATATTTCATAAAAGGGACTTTACCTACCCAATAAATAGTTTTTTTTAATATTTCCAAGGCATACTTGATTTTTCAAAATTGAAATTATATTGAAAATTAATCTTTTATCAAGCAGGACTGAAACCGCGAAAAAAAAACTGAATTCAAATTTTTTTGGGTTTTACAAGAGCCGTTTCACCTATCAGCAAATACACTGTATATATTTATAGTGCCTTCAGCAATAAAATAAAAAATATTTATAAAATCAGTTAAAAAATTCTGTTTTTAAATTTGTAACGTGAATTAAACACGTAAAAAATAGCATTTAACGCGACAAAATTGCTAGTTGTTGATAGTTGGTTGATATGGAAACGCTTTTGACAGTTGCAGTGACATTTCTTTATGCAGTGTAGTTTAAAATCTTTAAATGAGTTGTGAAAACAAATTATTATGTTCTGTAAAACGAATAAAGTCTACTACAAAAAAAATATTAAAAAAAGGATGGGTATGAAAAAGGCATGGCAACATAAAACATGCAGTATGTTAAATGCAGCGAAAGTCTCGAGAAGGGCAGAATACAAAGATAAGAAAATCATAAAATATAGGATTGTCCAATTATTAAAAAAAAAATATAATTTACTTTAAAACGAAATTATGGTAGTCACCAAATAAATGAAACCAAATATCCCTAGATAAGCACGGATTTTCTAGTCGAAAATGACAGATTGATAATTTTGGTTTTTACAGGCATACGTTAGAAGATATGCATTAATAAAATATATGGGCTATACAGAAGATGTATCTAACTAACACATACCTTATAACATGATATTCAGAAATAGATAAAAAAAATTCGTATGCACTTATGCCTATAGAATTGGTATATAATTTTTTCACAACACAGTATATAATAAACGATAACATCTCATGTAGTCTTAGCAACTTAATAACTTTTTAACCAGACGGTCAACCTTTTTAAGTAGATTCTACCACAATCTATAACTTTTTCAACATGTTCTCTATGCAAATAATATCGTTTCCTAACATCCTTAAAGGAAGAAAGTTAAGGGGAGACATAGGGGACGTTATCGTTACTACATGGTAATGCAAGTTGTTTTAAAAGACGTGGCTCCAGCATACTCGCTGCCTCGGTATTAGTGTCAAAAATGGCGAATGCTACGGGATTAATCATATATTATATCACGAGAACTATGAATTTAATCGGTTAAACTAGGCTCAGTAGTTTTTTGTTTGGTTTTTGTTGGAAAATGTTGAATGCAAAATAATTTAATAAAATCACGAGACCGCGTAGCGGTCGAGGGGTTTTATTTTTAATTATTTTGCATGAAACTATTTTCCAAAAAGAAAAATCAAATAAAAAACTTACTGAGCATAGTTTGACTGATTAAATTATTATTTCTCGAATTAAAGGAAACTATTTGACAATTCATAAAATCTGACGTATGTGTCAAAATTTATAAATATTTTTTTAAAGAAAATTCCATTAATTTAAGGTATGTAATAAGTAATAATTGAAATTTCGTAAACTAGATAACTTATTTTTTATTGTTTTTTAAAAAATGTTTCTTAAAACTTGTAAATAACACCATTAAATCATAAACAAAAATCCAATATGGAGGCTAAAATTTAATCGCTGTTAAACAGTTCTAGTGGTTTAATCGCTTATCTAAACAAAATTTATTCGAAAATTCAAGGCTTTTGATTGGTTTATTTTATAATGATTGAAATAATCTTAAGTAAATTAGTTTTAATTAAACTTGTGGCCTATATCTTCAATTAATAAACATACAAATGGACGGTTTTTAATATTCTCAATTGCATTAATTGTTTAGTACTGCAAAATGCATGTAGAAGAATAATTTGTAACTGAATACAGTAAATATTAATTTCGGCCGCATGCAAAATTAAGCTCACGAAAAGTGACTCTAAATTACCCGACGCAAACACCATTATTTCTGGCATTTTACTCTATATAACGATTCGCAGCGAAATATTGGGTAGTTTAATTTTTTATCGTCATTATGTATGTATTCTTCAATTTTAAACTATCTTGCGAAATAAGTATTTCCAAAAAAAAATGGTTTCTTGTTTTTACAAAATGTTTTACGATGTCCATTAAAAGTTTTTGGGGAGGGGCAAAATGTATCGATTTGAAATTGTTTATAATCGAATCAAGTCTATTTTTCTAAAATATTTTAAACAAAATTCCACTTCTGGTTTGACCGGAACTGCCATCAACTTTCAAATAGATTACCCCATATATTTTTAAATTTTTTCATTCTTTATAAATTCTTCGTAAAATTACTAAAAACATGTCCTATACCTGAAGTAAATTCACTTTAGGTATAGGACATGGTTATTTAAATTTTAATTTAAAATATTTTATAATAGACTTAAATGGATTAAAAGGGTTTTAAAATTTTAAATCGATATATTTTTCCGTCCCCAGAAACTTCTAATGTACTACGAATGTAAAACACCCTGTATAGTCATAATTTATGAATTGTATAAAAACTTTCAATATAAAATTTTTGGTTAAAAATTAAAATCCATAATTCTCTCATTTTTTGGTTTCGTAGAATAAAATTTGCGTTTTTAAAAGGGTTAATACGCTTATATAATGTAAATGGGTAGGTTATGTAATTACATGAATTGTTCTCATATAAAGGAATTAATTGCTACGAATTATTAATTTTAATGTTGACAAATCAAATACATGTCAATATTAAATTAAACCTTTTCTGTTTACACCAATAATAGTCAGTCCTGTAACGCGTTCAAATTTTTACTTGACTTGTATATTTTCAAATTACCTTCAAAACATTTCATATACGAGGTGTGTTCAGAATTCAGAAATTGTTAAATTTCACGGGTTCGGAAGGTCCGGTTGTCATAAAATTTTCTTTATTATGTTGGTATACATGCCCCCGAAGTATGATAAAAACTTTAGCTGTTTTCATTGTTTACTTTGTATGTGGCAGCCGCTAAGGTTAGACGTGTTTTATGAGCTCGGCGATTTTTCGTTCGTTAAAAGAAATGGATCAAAGGATTTGTATCCAATTTTGCTTAAAAAATGAAATAAATTCTGTGAAATGTTAACAAAGGCCTATATTGAGTCTGCTATAAGTAAAACAAGAGTTTACAAGTGGTATAAGATTTTCCAAGATGGCCGTGAAGACGTTGAAGATGACGAACGCCCCGAACGCATGATGTTACTATATCGATTGGCAAATGTGCATAATATCCAATGGGGACTATTTTGAAGGCGACAACATTAATGTAGACGAATAAATAAATATTTGTTTCAAAAAACGAAAATTCTCGATATTTTCTGAACACACCTCGTAAAATCATCTAATGGGCAAAATAGTTTCTCACAAGTGAAACACAATGTTTTTTCTGCGTGCCTTTAATTTTTATTATTTACAAATACAAAACAAAAAACCCAAAAACGTGTTTGACGGCTGTTAAAATTACTTTCATCATAATTTTAAGGTATAATTTACTTAAAATTAATAAACTTACCTTCAATTTAAATAAGGGCACTAAACATTAGAACACAATTAATTATGTTCTAAATGATATTTGGACATAAATATACAAATTTTAATTAAATCATGCAAATTCGAAGAAATCAACCTGTTGTAAGTATGAATGTCAAACGATGCTGTCAATTTCTTTTCACACAGACCTGTCCATTTTCACACAAAAATGTGACTTTACATTCGAGTTTTGCCTTGGAAATTAAAAGATTTATTTTTTAAGCAACATTGCCACACGAAATGTGAATTTTAAAAATACTCACACCGATGAAAAATTTTATGCAGAATTTGATTTCAGCCACAAATCTGTTTTGGCCCTTATAGCCCTAATTTGTTTTTGTTACATGTTTAAGAATCAAAAATTTGCATATAAAATATACGTATTTATTTAAACTAGTCGTTAAAATTCCAGAGACATCATATTTTCAAATTCGTGCAATTTCATCTTGTTGTCATGGTCTTTATTTGCTTCTAGCATTATATCATGAACATCATCTTCATCTAGAAAGCCTCCAAGAATGTCTGAAATGGCGGCTAGGTCTTGCTCTGTGATGTATCCTTTCCCCTCCTTATCTATAATCCTTAAAATTAACAAAAGTCTAGCTTACAATAAGTAATAACCTTACAACCTCCAACCTAATATATTATGATAATATCAGATTTTCGAGAAAATCTAAACCAAGATAACTATTACAGTGTTTTTGGTACCCTTTCAATGAAAGGCTTTCATTGCATTTTAAGTAAAAAATGTAACTTTTGATTTCTTAAAGAAAAGAAAACATATTGTTAAAATTTCAAAAGCATTTTGAACAAGAGTTGCACTTTTAGATAAATTTTATTGAAAAAAATTATTTTGTGATGTACTACTTTTGAATTAGAATTTCTCAAACAATACCTGAAAGCCATGCTTAGATCTGCTGTCAAGGCCGTTAAATCAACAAAAGGTCCCATAATTTCCAAAAAAAGGTCATGACTCACAAATCCAGTCTTTTCAGGATCGAGTTGCTCTATAAATCTGTATATTTCGGCTTCTGTATATTCCACTCCAATTTCTCTAATAATTTGTTTTAAATCTTTAAGATCGACGGTTTTTGTATTTTCTGGATCGTTTTTCTTCAACGTATCCAAAATCAGCAGTGTTTTCATGTCCGGTTCCTCATCATCGTCGAACTGCATTTTTATGGCAGAAGATTCGGCTAAATTTTACAAAAAGTCAGATGGCTAGAGTTTGACAATACTAAAAGTTTGGACTTGTCTTAAGCCTGAATTATAGATTGCCTTCCTTCCTTCCTCCCGTAGTCGTGCCCGTACGATTTGTGCGTCTTGTAAAAAGTCAATTTATAGATTTCCGTGTAAAATTCCGTAAGCATGCGCGATGACACCTAAAATGGTTGACATTTATTTTGTTTATATTTTGCGTTTTACCCTTTGTGTGTAAATATGAAAGATAATCATTTATATATAAGTGCAGTAGGGTGATTCAAAAAAAGCCTTTTTTTAAAAATGAACCCGCACTGGCCTAAATTATAAAGATTACATTAAAACTAAAAGATTAATACCAAAAAATCCAAATTCGATGAATATTTAGAGGTCGCTCAAATCGATTTTCGTATTTTTGCACATTCGAGCCGCGAAATTATTACTGCGCAAAATAGTAAATAACTCCGTTAGTTTTTATTCGATATTATTAAAAATTTAAGGGTTACCTAGTTTTTTAATACCCTCTGAGACATTGTATTGAACTTTACAGAAAAAAAATTTTTTTTCATGAAAAAAAAATAATTTGTTAATAAAAACGTATCATCTTATAAAATAAGCAACAATTGGAATCGCACTATGATGGTACCGTAAAAAAACTAAGAAAATAACACTTAAATTATTTAGCATACATAAAACCTGCCGAAAGAAATATTTTATTTGATTTATATAAAACATAACCTAATAATAATTAAGTTATTCAAATTTTTTCCATTTTCCTACGAAATTATAAAAAATTTATATCCGTTTTATTAATTATGCCGTATTTTTATAATATTTCTTTATTTTTGATACCATATTTAATTAATTACACTAAGTAGTTATTAATTTATTTCCTTTTTATAATTAAAATAAAAAAAATCCACTGTTCTACATCGTTTTCTTTGCAATGATTGTTTCTAATGTTAATTTTTTCAACCATTTTTTCTTTTGTTTCAGTAGGTACTCTTTTATCAAAAATGCCAAACAAATTAGCTCTTCTATTTGCAAATCTATATTTTTGTAAACATGATGTTCATGAAGTGTTTTCAAATCATTTTTGGGCGCGCAAGTTGCGTTTGGAGCTTGGAACCAGGAAATATATAAACGAAATATAAAAATAAAAATACAAATTCTATGCAATGACTTATTTTCATTGTTAGTGAGTTTAAATTGATCCTGAAATAAGAAAATCTTTAGAGAGTATATAGCTTTGTTCGTCCATCGGGCATGCTATCTATCTCCACCAAGGTATAAGATGTTTTTCTTTAATTTCTCAACAAATTAGTTTTGGTACTTAGACGCTTTTGAATTAGGTAAATAATATATATTTATATATATATATATATATATTTATATTTATATAATTTATCAACTACCTGCTAGTAGGTCCTACTATCAAAATTTAAGAATAATAATTATTATTGTGGTATGTCAATTTAGCAACATCTAGACAGAATCAAATAATTTTGGTATCAAAATTTGAGAATTGTTGTATGTCAATAATTTTAATAAAATTTAAATTTCTGCTTAAGCCATATCAATGCAGTAAATAATTTTGTAGTTAACGTTATTTTATTTTAGTTGTAAAAAGGACCTAATTTAATAACTACCTAGTTTAATTAATTAAATATGGTATTAAAAATAAAGAAATATTATAAAAATACGTCATAATTAATAAAACGTATAAAAATTATTTATAAAATCGGTTAAAAATGTGAAAAATCTAAATTACTTAATTATTTTTAGGTTATATATTATATAAATCAAATAAAATATTTCTTTCGGCAGGTTTTCTGTATACTAAATAATTTTGGTGTTATTTTCTTAGTTTTTTTACGGTACCATCATAGTGCGATTCCAATTGTTGCTTATTTTATAAGATGATACGTTTTTATTAACAAATTATTTTTTTTCATGAAAAAAAAATTTTTTTCTGTAAAGTTCAATACACTGTCTCAGAGGGTATTAAAAAACTAGGTAACCCTTAAATTTTTAATAATATCGATTAAAAACTAACGGAGTTATTTACTATTTTGTGCAGTAATAATTTCGCGGCTCGAATGTGCAAAAATACGAAAATTGATTTGAGCGACCTCTAAATATTCATCGAATTTGGATTTTTTGGTATCAATATTTTAGTTTTAATGTAATCTTTATAATTTAGGCCAGTGCGGGTTCATTTTTAAAAAAAGGCTTTTTTTGAATCACCCTAAAGTGCAGTGATCACAATTTTAATTGCCCAGGCAGCTTGTTGTATACTGCCCAACTATTGAGAAAGGCACTAACTGCTAGACAAGAAATTTGTGGGAAATTAGCATAAACTACATTTTTATAAAAAGCAGTAGGTATTTAACTGATTTATTTAACTTAAAAGATAGTTTACTGCATTTCTTTGTTGAATTAAGATACAAAATGTCCATAGCTTTATCATAGCACAAGAAAACGCATTTGTAGCTACTGCCTTTCTTCATAGTAGGGCAGTATCAAAGTTCTTTGGGCAGTATAATAAAAAAAAACATCGAACCGGACCGGGAAACTACGGGGTTTTACAAAGCAACGTTTCTAAAAATGAAAGACATTGATCTTAAACAATATCTAAATATCCTATTTAAAGACAAATTATTTAATAAACTGAACACCTATCTTAAATAATACTAAACAATCATGTATTTTAAATATTTTGTGCCTACGCGCTGTCACCCTACAGCGCATGTCCATAACACGCACTGTGATTGGTCATGTCAAAGACCTTTACGGTGAAAGATAAAACTTAAAAATTTCTACGGGAGGAAGGAATGCCGTCCTTACGGTTATGGAATCTATAAATGGCACTACGATTTAAATAAACATTTTTGACGTAATTGTCACCATTAACATTGCCCGTTATTAATTTTAATTAAACTTAACAATTATTGATACTTTAAAATATTAAAATATGATTTTGTTAAGAAAATATTTTATTCTTTAATTTTTTTTATTACTATAATTGCGAAATATCACAAAGTATTAAAAATTCTTACACGGGAAATGTTAATGGTGACAATTACGTCAAAAATTTCGTATTGTTCATCTTCTACGGGGGCAAGGAAGGAAGGAAGACAATCTATAATTCAGGCTTTACTTTGATACACAACGTTTTGTACAATTTCTGATCCTCTTCAAGTAAAGTAAATATGGCGATTTTATTCAATAATGATTTGACCCAGAAGGAGAAAGTGTCCATTGAAAATACATGTTAAGAAGATATTTTTTCGAAAGGGACCACAAATCCGCCGGCTAAGTGAATGTTTTGTAATGTATAGTCGAATGTTTTTTTTATTGGATTTGTGTGTCGAATTAGTGCCAATCCAGACCATTTGCAAATCCTATGGATTTTCAATAAGCCCAAACCCTGATTCGTTCCTATTGCGGCATTTCGCTGCTCGGCCGCAGACATCCTCGGTCTTGTACTAGGTATTTTGACAACAAAATAAGAAAGAAAAACCCTTTCTTAATCAGGAGTATTAGTAGGAGTTTGTACACAATAAAAAATATTTGGGTGATTCTACAAAAGTTGGACAACTTGATGTCATCAGTCAAAAGAGTAGTTATTTTAATATTTTTTGTAAATATTTTAGTATATTACAAAAGATCCAGGTTTTTTTAACTTGCACTGAAAAAACGGATTTGTAAATTTACTTAAATCTTACTGCTTTTTAGGTGACCATTAAATTTAAAGTAAATTTACAATATTTATGTAATATGATATATGTTACATATTTTTTGTAAAATTCAGATACAAACATTTAGTAAAATTACTAAAGTTGTGTAATAGGTATTTACTAAAATTTTGTAAAATTACCATAGCAAGGTAATATTACATTATGTATCATATGAAAAATACTTGCCCGAAACGGTTTCTTTTGTAATATTGCTTTAAATTAGTAATATTTGCTGAAATTTTTTAGTAATTTAGCTTATTAAATATACCTACTTATCTTAAGTAATAACAATTTGTAATATTACTTCAGGTAAGTAATATTTCCTAGTATTTTTTATTAAAATACTGATGTAAAATAATTAACTATTCTTAGGATTTTTACTGGTTTTGGGATAAGTTTAGCAATAAATAAAAAATTGATTTTGCTTAAAATAACATTTAATAAACCTAAAAAACATATTTTTTTCCTAATAAAAATGTTTTAAACAAATCAAAAATATGGACAAATGCGTGAGAATAATTTAAAAAATTGTACCCATAAAATGCTATAGATTATACAAATGGCGTCTTCACTAAATTATTTTAATAAAGAACAGTACCACAGACATATCACAACAAATTTTGTCTGTGAACAGGAGACACTTGCTAAACACTTTTATTTTAAGAAGTCTTATAAACTTTTGTGTTTACCTAAACAACAGCACCAGCAAAATGCAAACGATATTTCAATTATCAATAATAAACAACACGTACCTACACGTCGTACACTGGACTACCAAGAGTTAAGGGACGCCGCATCACATGATCTATACTATGCAGTGATTGGTCAAAAGATTACTGAGATTTTGTAATTTCGCAAAAGATTTGTAAATATACTTTTCTATTGTATTATGAAATATTTTTAGTAAAATTGTGCTGTAAATTAAAAAAAAATATGTTTTTTTTTACTTACCTGAAGTACTTTTACATTTAAATTTACCGCATTTGACGGAAAACTTGAAATTTACTTTGTAAAGTTACAAAAAAAACTATTTTTAACCTAAAGCCATTGGCATTTTAATTTTATTTAGTAAAAACACTTTAAAACTAAATTTACTTCAAAAATATTGTTATTTTACCATATGTTTCATGTAATACTATTGTAAATTTACAATAATTTTTTTCAGACATGTCCTCCCAATTTTAATGTAACTTTTCAAAAGCACGTTTTTAGATATGGGTGATTTTACAAAAGTTGGACAACTTGATGTCATCAGT